CAGTGTCTGAGGGAGGCAAATAGCCCGTGCCAGACACAATCTGGTCCGCGTCGAATGGGCCGGGTTTCTGCAGAAACAAGGGGACGGCGCAAGCTCCATCTGAGGGAGATTGCAATATCAACCGTGTTATGAAGTGTCTATAAGCCTGTCTCACAGTCCTCGAGGCGGTCATTCCAAACACACACTGGACTGATCGCAAGTAGAGAGCAATTTTGTCAGTGGACAGCCTTCAGACCTAAAACGCTTAGTGCCTCGAAATACTTCAGGCAGTGATGTTTTACTACAGATTTTCAGGGCAGGCGCGCATGTTCCTGTAATTCCTATGCGGTTTTTGAAAGCCCGAAGGCAGCGTGCGCAGTTGGTTGCGCGTAAATGCTTCCAGCTCTAGTCTGTTAGTCTCACAGCGATGAAATTTTAATCGACCGACCAGGCCAATGAACGATGAGAACGCACAACCCCAAACGAGACAGGTTGAGATAAAGCCCGCATTGCTGGCACAGGGAGCGATTTTGATGTGTGGTTGGATGTTGGCGGTCTCCTAATCGGTGATAGGGATGGTTTTCGTTGTCGTCGTCGTCGTCGTTGTCGCCGCCGCAGCAGCCGCTAATTTTCAAAGAACGCTTAGCAGCGTCTTCCCCGACATAAAATTGACGATGGAGGAGGAAGAAGGTAAACAATCGGCCTTCCCTTGATGTCCTCGTCTGTCTCAATTACTGTGGTGGTCAAAAGCCAAAGCGTTCAGGGAAGCGGAAAATACAACGTAAGTACACAAATTCAACTACAACCACCCAATCGGCCACAACCGCAGTTGCGCGAGGGCGCTATATTGGCGGTTGGGGATGCATTGCAGGGAGACAAGTTTGCTGAATTCCAATAGCTTTGACGGGCACTGAGAACTAATGGCTACTCGCGCAACATCGTGAGGACGTGCATGCGCGAACGAGACGAGAGGCAAAATCGCACCAGTCCCAAATTTTGGCGAACTCTTCCGTACGTTAGGAACGTCTCAGAAGTCGTCTGCCGCCTTCTCACTCCACTTTGATTTGGAGTTGCACACAGACCGAAGGCCACCAATAGGCATCAGACGATGAGACAAAGTGATTCACTGCCACCGCAAGAAACATCTGGAGTCGGTTACTTGGTCTGGTGCAGGTGCGGGCAAAGCAACTACGTCGAAGAAACTGGAAGATTGCTCCGGACGCGAACTGCTGAACACGCGGCAGCGGTGTGGAGAAATGAGGCCGACGCTCAGGTCACGGCCCATTCGGCGAAACCCGGTCACACATTCAATTTCGATGAGACCGGAATTCTCACGAGAGATGATACTCGTGTTAGCTGCGAGTTGATTGAGTCTTGGTTTACGGGACCCCAGTCTATAAACAAGTGCTGAGACCTAGTATGGCCAAACTAATTAGCCTTTCGTGGAGCGCGTAGGCCGGTGAGCGAGATAGCCGAGCCATCATCATGCCAGCATCCAACACGGATGATGAGATTTCACCAATTAACAACTTGCATGTTGGCTATCAAGCCATTAGCACATTTGCGGGCAACAATTCTCGATGATGGGGAGCGCGGTTAATTACTATAGCCATGCGATAGCACAGCGACTGCATCATATAACTACTGCAACTTACTGTGCACGAATCACTCGTTTCTGCAACTGTCTCAGATGATGGGCTCAAGTGAGAATTCGAAACGTCAGACGAATAAAGTCTTTGTTCTAGCGATCGCTTCTTCTTCTTTTTTATCATCCTCTGACTATCAACTTGTGACTAGCAGCGGCGATCGGACTGGGTTCATAAATTGCGACTCCATTTATCAAAGCTGTTTTCCTGGTCGGTCAATACCAGACGAGGCTGTTCCAGGATTTTAAGTCGAATTGTAGATCACTGGAGCAAATTTCCAGCGTTTTTGTAGCATTGTTTCAATCCTCCCTGAAAACTATCACCTATTGTAGCGTTGCCTTCGAATGCGCAGGCATTTATCGCCCATCCTCACGCGTGTCCTCGTCATCGTAGTTGGATTTAACTTAGTATGATGTGGATGCTGGGGATTCCGTTCCGTCTCGGAACATTGTGTCTGACAATCTGTGAAACTTGTTGACAATCCTCTCTAGGTTCTTGCAGACTGCCCGCGTTTCCGCCTCTGGCAGTAACTTCACCAACACGACAGCTCCATATGTCCCTGGCTTCATGTTGATCTGGAGTCTCCGCATAATTGTGTAGTTCACAGTATTTGAGTAAGTGGGCGAGTGATGAGTGAGTGCGTGTACGGACTGGCGTTTATCAAATACCGTCCCAATTGCGTTCTGGGGTCATGTATGGAATGAAAAAGAGAGCATATGAATTGAATACAGACCCTCACGATCATTTACTTCCGTCGTATATTACGGGCAGTTTGGTGAGCGGAGCTGGGGATTACGGTATTCATTTAGGGTTAGTTATGGTCATTCCATGATCCGTTTGAACACGCCCCGCAGGCGCATACGGTTTTTCCTTAGGTTCGAACTGTCCCTTCTGGATTGGCGTGCGACTTTGACTGGAAGAGGGACGGCAGGCCTTAGAGTTCGACCACTACAGACGAACATATCCTCATGCCGGACTTACTCTGTGCGTTCTATTGTTCGAGGCAACTCAGATATGTTGGAGTGGCATTACCATAATCTTGCCACATTATCATTTTTCATGTTTCCACCAAACGAGAATGGCCTTTTCGTTGATCGGTTACGATCACACTTCCATTAATTTGGCCGGAGTCTTCGCGTACACACAACGGAATGACCTTCATTTAGACTGCCTTCCGCCTGTTGGTTGTTCGTCGCCAATTACGGCTCCTTCCAATCCGGCGCTATCATGCGATTATTCCGTATGTCTTACTACATATGCCAGGTTTTTTATATATCTTCCCCACTAACTCCATCCTAAATAAACTAGCCTAAGACTTTACCATGTTCATTAATTCCGCGCATACCCTATTCCGGCCATTGCAGCCCGCATGCAATTGTCCCACCCCTACACCTCCTATTCCCACTGGTCACGTTAGACAGGCAACTGGGGTTTTTCCGAACAGGGACGGCCGCCAACTGCGATCTAACCCTTCCAACTTATCGAAACTAAACGCCACCATTTTGACCATGAATAAACTCCTTTTGCCAATGTTTGGTTGTAAATCCATCGTGCGGATTTTCAAATCATCAATGAACAAAATCCAATTCCCTTAGGCATGCATACACATACCGGCAACCGTGGGCGTAATTGTCAGCACTGAATGGGGTATTATTTTTAAGTTTTGCACATCCCAAGGTCAAATCATAGACAACAGCTTTCTCTGTTCTGGGGTCAAAGAAGCACCCAATTTATTCGGGCATTAGTTCGAATTCCTACTTCCTAACCTCCTGTATTTAAAGACTATGCAGATTATTCAGTTGGATTTAAACAATATAACAAAAACAAGGTAAGCCCTGTCTGTGGCACTTGTCTATTTCTCACATGAGCAAGAACAGCTCAAACGATAAGAACGAATTCAGCGAAAAGCGTATTAGGAAGTGCACGCTACGTTGCCCTCCTGAATATTAAACGCAATTTGTAATAAAAATTGGCAGCTAGGGTGCGGCGGGTCTGCTCTCCCGCTCGACTGTTGAAGCAGTACTTCAGCAGCTGCAGGATATACTTCACGAAAATAGGTACCCAGAAAGATTTATCCTCCGAAACATTAAGGAGCGCACTGCAAAGACCACCAAGGCAATTACAGAAGAGAAAGGCTTATTTATAAGACTACCTCTCCAAGGGAGCGCAGCAGACGACCTAGTAACACGACGTCTGAAGACGGCGATCACTAGAACTTTCCCCGCGGCGAATTTACGCACATGTTTCACGAACTCTTCCCTCCTACGCTTGGGAGATAAAGTACGACTACCGTTGCAGGCCACATCGATGTGTATTCACTCATTCACGTGCTCCTGTGGAGCTGGATACATTGGTCGGGCAACGAGACGCCTGGAAAAGAGAGAACGTTAACACTCACATATCTAGCTAGCTAAAGGTGAAAAGAAATCTACTTCGAGTTCTACTGTCGCACATTTGTGGATACGAACCACCGAGTCGATGTCAAAGAAGCCTTTAAGTTTGTCCATCGGACACTAGCAAGCTTTTCCAGAGGTCTACGTCAACGGATACTGGCTACAGCCGAGGGAATGACTAAACAACTAGTGAATCCGACAGTTCGACCGCAGCCGCATGAAGACGGAGTCAAGACGCACACTTCCCACTTGCGTGGGAGGTGGCGGTTGGGTGCTTGCGGGTGATGTGCGTGAGATGCTGGCGAGGGAGGATTCAATGGTGTGATGCAGCCGACGGTTGTCTACTGCGGGTTTTCGTGAATGCGTATGGGGCCTAGTCGACCCCTGCGGTGAATAAATGCGCGAGAGCAATGTGGACAGTGGAGGCGGATGCGTGGGTGTAGGTTGGTGTTCCAGGCATTGGTTTGCCAGTCTCTTTTCGATGGATTCGCAGGTGACCGACCAGACTAATGTGTGAGGTGAAGGTGCGATCGCAATGAGGACAGATATAGACCAGGTCCTCGTCGCTGGTGTTGACGGTAGTGGTGTTGATATTTTTTAGTGTGTCAAGATTGGCATGGCGGACACCACAGCGGCAGACATACAGGCGGTGGAGGGTTAGGAGGGGCAGGAACAGGACGCTGGTAGTGGTGGCTCGGGAGGGCGGTCAGAGTAAGTTGATGGTGCTAGAGATGTAGACGGAGAGACGACTGCCGCTGCAACTGGTCCGGAGGTGTCCAACAAGTCCAGTTGGCGCCCGGAATGCCCGTAGACAGCGTGGACACGTTGGAGGCGGTTGGACGTTGGCGTTGCATGGTGGGCACATTTGAAGCTTGCAAGCCTCGCAATTAGCTTTCGAGGCGATGATGCGATTGACTTCGTAGATCGCTGCTACTGTCTTCACTGTCTTTTTCCAGGTCGGTCAGTCTCGAGCGAGGTCTTCCTATTCGGTCAGTTTTCTCTGCAGGCCCTTCAAGGAGGGCTTCGTAGTGTCCTTGTATCGACGGATTTTACATCCTTGGCGGCGAGAACCTGTGACGGCATCTCCGTAGAAGAGTCGTTTGGGTAGCCGCTCGTCATCCATCCACGAGCGATCGCCGCTCCTACGAAGTTGCAGTTGACTCATCGTGGCGTAAATACTGAGGATACCTGTTCGCTTCAGTACATTCTTGTCGGGTATTCGGTCTTGCCACCTCACCTTCAATATCCGTCGAAGGCAGCTGAGGTGGAAGTGCTTGAGCCGCCGTGCCTGCTTCTTGTAAACCGCCCAGGTCTCCGTTCCGTTCAGCAGCGTCGGTAGGATGATTGCCTTGTACATCTTAGGTTGGGTGTTGGGGTGGAGACTGTGACAGCTCCAGGCGCTGTTCTGTAGACGGCTGAAGGCATGGCTGGCTTTGGAAATGAGGCGGGCAGTGACTATGAGTTATTTTGTGGCTTGCGTTGATGTCCATCGAAGGCTGATGGCTGGCGTACGGGTGGGCAGCTACAGGCCGGCTAGAAGAAACACGGCCACCGCGGCCCCGAGGTCAACTCAAAATACTCTAGAAACAACAACCACTAGTCGTCTTTGGTGTTTCGGGTGAGCGTCCCGCCCAGATATGTGAAGATGTCAACAACTGGGCGCCATCCACGCGGATTTGGGGTGCGGGGTAGGCAGCGTCGGGTGGCACTTGATGCATAACCAATGGCTTCTCCGTGGTGATGATTAGACCGATTTTTTCGCAGGCAGCAGTGAAGAAATCCATGCCCCTTTTTATGTCCCCTTCTGAGAAAGTGTTAAGGCCAGAGTCGTCGGAAAAGAGGAGTTCATGAACGGAAGTTGAGGAGTTGGCAGTCATTCCTGTAGAAGATGCAGATCCCATGGCATCCGTCAGGGTATCCGTCCATCAATATGGCAGTAAACATGAGAATCAAGACTGTGGATGAGAGGACGCAACCCTGCTTCACTCCTTTGGCCACTGCAAATACATCTGAGGCAGATCTGCAGCGTGCCATCATGCCGTTCTGGCGCTGACGCACCATCTGAGTGAACCGTTCGGGGCAGCCAAACTTCAGCATGATTTTCCACAGTCCTTTGCAATTTATCCTATCAAAGGCTTTCGAAAGATCTACGAATACAGAGTGCATGTGGGTCCGCATTTCCTGACACTTTTCCTGCAGTTGACGGCAGGCCACGGTCATGTCTGTAATCTCACAATGACAGTGGAAGCCGCACTAGCTTTCCGGCAGGTGACCTTATACTAGGTGGCTGTTCAGACGGTTGAAAAGGATGCGAGCGAAGATTTTCGCGATAATTTTTCCAGAGAGATGCCTCGAAGGTTGCCGCAGATTTGGCAGTTTCCTTTCCGTTTGTATAGATGCATGATTGTGACGTCCGTGAAATCCGGGGGGGGGATTCCCTTTGATGCTACATCTACAGGAATAGTGCCATCAGATTATCCATGAGTTGGGGACCATATTTTTTGAAGATATCAGTAGGGATCGCATCCGATACGGCCGCTTTACCGTTGAAGAGCTGCTGCACGGCCTTGATGGTTTCACGGAAAGAGGGCGGGGATCGACGCCGGTGTTGGTCTCCGCTTGAGGCAGACGGGCGATGGCGGTGTCGGAGATGGTGGAGGGACGGTAAAGGACCCCTCTGAAGTGTTCTGCTCATCGCTTTTGAATTTGTGTCTCCTCACTGAGTAGGGTATGGCCGTCGGCGCTGAGAAGAGGTGCAGTGCCTGTGGTTGGCGGACCGCAGACGGCTTTGATCGCGGAGAAGAAGTACTTCCACTCGCTGCGTTCGGCGAACCCTTAGTTCTCCTCGGCTTGGTGAGCCGCCCGGGTGTCCTGCATCTCGCGTAGCCGCTCTGGCACAAGACGGTGACTGCGATAGAAAGCTGCCTTGTTGTCGTCAGTGGGGCGGTCGACGTAGGCTTTGTGCAGGCGGTTATTCTTGGCGCACAGGTTGCTGATGGCGGCGTCGTTGTCATAAAACCAGTCCTAGTGTTAACGACGTACGCGACCGAGGACAGCCATGGATGTCGCTTGCACTACATCCCGCAGTTTTCACCATCAGTTCTCAACAAATGCGTACTCTTCGATGGAGACGGTGGCAACCGGTAGGTTGTCTAGTCGTTGAGCTAGCTCGTTGCTGAGATGGAGATGGTGAGCAGGCAAAGACAACAAAGCAATATTCAGCGCACCTGGGGTTCGCTTACCCTGGGGTCTCCAGCGAGGCTGTAGGCGAATTCGCATTTGCGAGATGACGAGAAGATGATTGGTCCGCCTGTCGGCATCCATGATCGCCTTTGTTACCAGCACGTCCCGCTGGTCTCGCCTCCAGACAAGGACATAGTCAAGCAGGTGCACTGACGCGACCGAGTGTGAATCCAGGTGGTCCTCTTTCGCATCGGCCGGCAGAAGAAGGTATTGGCCAGAGTGAGCCGACGTTCTATGCAGGTTTGTAGGAGGAGCAGGCCGTTGACATTAGAGCCCTCGAGACCATGGGGACCCGCACTCCTCTCCAGGCAGCATGGTCTGTACCGACGCAGGCGTTGAAGTCACCGAGGACAATCAACTTATTCGCCTTCAACACAGTCGCCAGGAGAGCATGCAGGTCCTCGTTGAATTTGTCATTTGCGGCGTCAGGGCTGGTCAGCGGCGGTGCGTAGACGCTGATGATCGTGGCGAATTTGCATCCCCGAAGAGCGGGAGGTGGCTCATCAGGCGACTGATGATGACCTGCGTCAGAAAGGGCAGTCGTTCCACGATGTCGTTTCGGATGGCAAAGGCGGCACCCGCGTCCCGTCGCTCTGTCTTGGGACAGCTACTCGAGAAATAGGTATAGCCGGGCACCAACATCCTCCAGTTGGCCTTGTTCGGAGACCCAGGTCTCACTGATTGCAGCGATGTCCGCTTTATGACGCGCCAGTTCCCGAGCCACTAGCGCGTCCTCCGTTCCGGTCGGTTGATCCTCGGATTGTCTAAAAGTGAACGAACGTCCATCCTTCCGGTCTTACGAATGGGCGGCGGGGAGGAGGAGAAGAGAGTGTTGTTTTGATTTCATTTGTTTCGACCGTGAGTTGTACATCCGCGACCACGATCGTCCTCCAGAGGGCGTGGTTCCCCAGCACTTGTTTAAGGCACATTTTCTACTCCCTTCCCCTCGCGAGTGTGTGCACTGCTCTCCCTAACTAGGGCTGCTCAGATTTGTCAGATGGCTGCCGAGTTCCACTATCGACCACGCCTTTGTTTAGTGGGAGAGCAACTCGAGTTGGCCCGGGACAGCCCATAACATTGTCGTAAGCTTGTGGCCTCCTGTGGTGTACCAGACGGAGATTCGTCTCGACGACACCAATGCGAAGATCTATCCGGCCAGCTAAGTCGGCATTACCGTGCGTCGAGATGCACACACGGATACCCTCACCTGGTTTAACCCGCTGTTCGAGGCGGCTACCGGGGTGTGGCCGCTAGGCAGAACCTAGCCTCGGAGAGCCGCCTGTGAGAGTTGGGTGCCAGCAAATGGACGCTGGGCGTAGTTTACACCTGCAAGCAAGTAAGTGATCGTCAACATCCGTCACGTAAACCCACCACTGGACACGCCTAACCCCCCTAGCGAATCCAGTGCTGTGCTGTCATAAGGCGGTGACACGTCGACCCCATGTGATCACTGCGCGATACCCCAACCTACTAATGGCTGTGATGTGTGCACAGCGTACCCGACTTACAAGCATCATTCGCAGCCTATCCCATCCTCCCCTTCCCCCTTGCTCCAATGAGCATAAAACACCGGCCTCGCCATGCGGGTGGCGCTGAAACGATGAGTGTTAATACACCCCCTAAGTCATTTATAAACCCTGAGAACTTTTCATATTTTCAATTTCCGTGTAAGTGTACTGGCCTGACGATGAATTATAGAAAACACGTTTTTTGCCAAATTGGCCTTTCAAGTATTCCATTTTACTCGATTGACTGAGCGATAATTGAATACAGGCGCTCACAGCAAAATTTATTAGTACCAACAAATTTATTGACAGCTCATAGACTGCAACTCGCCTTTGTATAATGTAGATAATTAATGGAAGCGCATAAAAATTTGAATTTGCACAGAACATTAATGCATAAGAGCAAGTCCAGGGTTCGCTGCAACGAATGACCAAACGAACGACTTTGCCGTAGGCATTATATAGGAAAGAAGAGTGCGGAATTTAGGCGCAAATTGCAATCATGAGGGGATCGAGAGGCGAAGGTTAACAGGGTAATTGCAGATTGACTACATGGTTTAACTGTATGCAAAGATCTGATCTCTCCTGCCATATGTAATTTGTTTGCAAGCAACGCAAGTTTCGGGTTTTACGCCCTCGAGCCAGCTCTGGGAAAGTTGCTTTGAGGTCAACAGTATAACCGTCATCTAACCGATGTTACAAAATAAGCAAACGATGTCGACATCCTCGTTTATAGGTCAGTGATATAAATGTACTTCTCCATTACAAGTGCAATTCGGCTTCCTTAGACGCGGTTTGAATATAGCTTACTATTTTGCACAGTTCACTTATAAGTGGTTGATATATTAGGGCAGAAATTTGATCCCACCTGACGTGAACAAACGCCAGCCACCTGTAATATGGGATTGTCGGCAAAAGTGGTTTTCACAGGTGGGATCAGGGAACGCACAGACGATGAGGTCAAGTAATTGTTTGCAAAAGGAAAGCTATTGGGAATGCGCGGTTGTAATTTGGTCGACGAATAATAATTACCCTAACCACAACCCTAACCTCCAACCCTAACCCAGCCTCCGACACTAACCCCATCAGCGTCCTGTCCATCAGGTGGGGCTACATGGCCACATCTTACCGAAAATAGAAACTGAGTGGCCGATCGTGCGTAACTGCACGGCCTCTCAGTCCAGCAGCTAACTTTTAGTGCTACAGTACAATGGCCATACCCATTACGCCCCTCTTTCTACCACAGATAAGGTGCAAATGCGAGATGCTGTCAAATTAGCTTTTTATTTCCTTCTTTCAAATGAAGTCGTTTAATTGCTCAGCGAACTGAAGGATTGTGTCACGAAATACCGAAGAATTTGAATCGGTCATGGGATTTTCCATGCAGTTTGACCTGACCTGCCCGTTACATAATCTGTAGGCTGAGAGCAACGGGCTGCGCACTTTGCCGCATAAGAAAATTTCAAAGAATTTGTTAGGTGGTCCAAAGATACGCACAAAATATTAAAAGAGGCAGGGACCAAGCTAATGACTAGACGGTCAGTAGAAATAGGGTATTTGGCAACTTCGGTTTCTCATGCTTAATCGAGCAAAAGTACATGAATGGCCAAAATGACAGTCAGCAGATACCCAACATGAAAAAGGACGCCAAGTAGTTTAGAATAATTCCCTATGTTAATCATTCACAAGGTCCATCTTGATTACCCTTCGGTCAATGTTTATGAGTTTTTTGAATGCTTTACGTGCTATTTACGTAACAAATTTACATCCAGCACCATCTTCCTGTGTGATTGGAAGGGTTCTCAGCAGACGACTAGCGCCTCCAAATGGTCATAACGTTAACCACTGTGCATATAAGTATAGCATTTCCTCCCAACCAACCCTCGTCCACTGCAGATTTCACATTGCCTCGACGTTGTCATCTGCCCTGTATTACCAGAACTACGGCTGTTCACTGGATTAATGTAGGCAAAAAGAAGGCTAAACCATGACAGCCACCAATCCGGAAAGTATATTTTGGCAGAGCCTTGTGGGGAATTTTGGTCCAGGTTATCGCGAAAACGTGAATCGTGGAATTTTTTATTCTCGTAGATTGACATGAAATTGCCCTTATTTAATTACAAATCCGAGTATTTTGTAAGCCTTAGATAAATCCATTGAAAACTGTTTGCTCCAAACTTTCGTCTGAGGTCACACCTTCATCTGACGGGCAATTACCATAAAACAAACGGCCCGAATGTACGCGGAGAATTGTCCGGAAACTGCAATTCCGCCCGGCAGAATCTTTCTTGAATCTTCGACCCTGTAACAAGCATCGGCACTTCGTCAGTAAACGTAGGACTTACAGGCGTTTGAGTATTTTATGCGACTTACGTCGCACTTTGAAACAGACCCGTCCTTTTACTCGTCACTATCCTCCTATGTGATTGGAAGGGTTTTTAGTGGAACGTCGGCGGCACTGAATGTCCTTTATCAACGTCGCTATCACAAACCCCGCCCGCCGCCTCTCTCTCCCCGAAAACAATCTCTGCCCACGGAGGACAGCATACGGTCGTTCACGTTGCCGCGTCGATTACCTCATAGAAAGCACAGTGGCTATTAACTGGTTTAACGTAGGCGAAATGGACACGACCAATAACGGCCTTCTATCTACAAGGAGACAACTAAGCCAACGTGGCGTAGGTAAATCCGGCCCGTTTTATTACAAGCATGTGAATTGTTGAATTTTCAACTCCAGTAGGGAGACATGAATTCGTCACCTTCTAAAAAGCATTGAGCAATTCCAATGCTAGGGCTAAATCCCATAACAAATCAATATGCTAGAATTATAGTTGTGAACACGTCTACATTTAGCGAGAATTTATCATAATTTTCCTGGTGTAAGTGGCAGAGCAATCGTCACGAAAAGTGGAGTTAGTGGGTAGGAATCTTCAAAAATTTTCAAAATGACAACTGATACCAGCGAATTCGCCTTTCAAAGAACTAGGAAGCCGGCAAGATCCTTAGACTTAGCACGATATAAAACTCATAGGCTGGTTGCTAATTTGCGAAAATGAGGTTCTTTCTTCGTGGGCAGCGCTTCCTTCAATAAACGAAGGACGTCCGCAGCTTACGAACAATTTTTGCTTCAATGGCGAATCGGATGGAGGCCTTAGTAGGTCGCCTCGACCAGACGCCAAAGAGGTGGACGACAGCGGTAATTCCCGAAATAGCACACCGTTATTTAATTACCTAAAATGAACCAACAGTTGAATCCCACCATATAACAAGATCGTCTCAGGCAGAGTTCACTACGGCTCACACGGTAAGTAGAATGCTGACTCTCATGCCAATTTGCTAACTGCGAAACAAATACTACCGGTCTTTTTCTCATCTCAGTCTCCAAGTTCATCCTTTTCTGGTGGCATATATATGCTAAGAAGAGCGCAAGGTGAAGATGGGCACAGCGGCCGACAAAGTTAAACCGTCTGTCAATGCGGGCTATGCACTACCCGGTGCTTACCACCACCAGTTTCAATGAGAGCGCTCCCGATCTCACAGACCTACCCCACCGGCGCCCTAAAAACCACATTAACACAGAGTCAATGTAGCCGGGTCCTCGTACCAAGGGAACACCGGCTTACCCCGTCAACTGCTAACCTCCGAAGGCATGACCTTTTAGTGTATTATGATAGTCAGAAGACAATACGCCGAATTGCCGTGGGGGAGAATTCTACGGATCGACCATACTCTCTCTCCCTTTGCCCATCCAGCAGTGGAATGATCCGGGGCTGTCCACTGACCGGTGATGAGATTGGGCACACTGGCTGGTATGACACAGGGCCTACACCTAGAGCGTGACACGCCCACACACAGGACAGTCGCTCGTAGTCGCCGGTGTTGGTAAAAATCCCCGGTAGTGTTAGTGCGGGCTTGATTGGTGGGCGTAGCGCCCACGCATTTGACCGGAAAGGTTCACGGCACGACTACAGGCTTAAGAGCGATTGGGATTAATTGATGGGCAGCACCTTACCAAGAGTGCTCGCGAATGCACCTACGCCGGAAATTCAAGATTTGATGGCTAAATGCGTCTCTACATTTTAGCGGCTAGCAACGTGAATGACAGGTGTTGAATGGGGATTCATAAATTGGCTTTCCGTGCACCCTTTGATATATTTTTCTCTAAACCCTCAGATCGAATAGCGCTTTAAATAAGATAACGTAACATTCACATGTCATTACCCTACGTATATTGCTAGTGTTGAGTGTTTTCTCTAGTTTGGTTTGTACATCTGTTACAGCGAGTGCGAAAGCGCCAGACGAATGCAAACTAGCGGCGGAATACGGTGTTGGATAGGGACGA